AGAAGATGAACAAGAAGAGCAGCAACAACAAGAAACCACGTGATATGAGTTAGGTGGCATGGAAGTCAGCAATATGGTTGGATAGTCACAGTAAGGAGGGGGACTTTAGAGAAATGGGAGGGAAGCCCAAAGTACCAGAAAAAGCAGGCTTAGGGTCTGACCAATATCTGGAACAAAGAGACATGAAAGAGAAAACAAGGAAAAGTCAGGCCTTGCAAAATCAGGACTCAGAAAAGTAGGCAGACTCAACAGGACCTCACGGTGGCTTGTAGGGACAGTTCTGGGGATGGGATCTTGGAGAAGGAAAAGTGCATTGTCTCATTAAAACACTGAGTACTCCACCTGTCTCTAGCACAGCTTAAGGTGCAGCTGCCTCCCTGGGTGTGGTCCCTTCACCAGGTCACTGACCTGCCAAACTGGAGTAAGGGAAGGGACAGTAGCGATTCTCAGCCTAGAGGTAGATCTCACTCTTTTGGCCAGCAAGTAACAGCTATACCTGAAGGGCCTTCAGTGCTGTGCTGAATACTAGAGATGGGTGAGGTAGACAGTGGATCAATAAATTAAACAATATTACAGTGAGAAAAGCCTCTCTCATGGACCTACTTTTGTGGTAAGAGTATTATCAGGATTTCTTGGCTCCTTAAGCCTTATGAAGATGGAGATATATTAATATATATATATATTTGATCTAAAGCACTTTAAGGTATTGTTTCTCAGGCTGTTCGGGTATTTATGTACATGCAGGAAAATTAATTTGTATGCATGATTTGCAGACACAGGGCAAAACAAGATATAGACTATGAATCAAAGGGACAGTGTAGCACAAATTCTAATTGGTCTTAATAAAAATTCAGAGTCAGATAGGGGGCGGAGCTGAAAGATCAAAGAAGCAAAGCAGCCAGCCACTAGGCCACCAGCTCTTATCTCTACCTTAGACTGAAAGGGCTGTCCTGTCTCCACCAATCCTCAGACTGACACTACACTGATGCCTCTGACTGCCTAGACTGTACTTAGCTCCTGTCTCCTCCCACCTTGTATTCCTCTCTCTGCCCAGCCATATCCCTTCCTGTTTCCACCTCCTAAGTGCTGGGACTAAAGGCCTGTGCATCCAAGTGTTGGGAATCATCTTTGTGTGAACTCTGTTTCTCTTTTAGATCGGATCAGTTTCATATAGCCCAAGTTGGCCTTGAACTATCAGAGCTCTATCTGTCTCCCAAGAGCTCGGATTAAAGGTGTGTGCCACCACTGCCTGACCTCTACAGATAACTAGTGTGCCTAGCTTTGTACTCTGATCTTCAGGCAATCTTCATTTATTAGATCATAAACAAATTATCACTACAGTACAGAGCCTTGCACATGCCTAGTAGACAGTCCTAAGGAAATATTGGAAAATGGAAATAGGTTTGAAATGTAACAGATACAAAAGTGGGACAGGATTAGTATTTTGAATAAATAAATGCTGTCTTTGTTGGCCAATATTTCCATGAGTCTATGCTTATTATACAAAATTAAGCTCTCTGAAGGACACCTACGTACAGCACTGTCACCAAGAAGTCCAAGATACAGACATATTGATGGAAGGTGCTATGTGGCATCCCAAGTGTCCCCAGGAAAATGTAAAAATAGACATCTTAGCCTTTCTGAAAGTATGTTAAAGAAAAATGAGCTATCAGAATTTCAAGTAAACAAAGGGGATATTTAAGACATCTGGGATATAGCTGGGCCTACTTATAGGGGTGGTCTATTCTTTGCTTTCTTGGGAAGTGGAAATGCTCTCTGTGCAACTCTTCTTATTTTGTTTGTCAAAGTTCAGGGGCGTATTTTAAATTTGCATGAGACTTCAGGCTTTCTGTTTAATCCAAGGCTAGAGTCACGTCAGTAAAGAGGCCCCAAGCAACCGTGCAGAGGCAGCAGGCTGCATGATTCTAGAAGGGACCATGCCGTAGGTCAGGTCAGAACAAAGGCCCCTTAGCTGGGCAGTGCACCAGCTCCCATTCTCAACTCACTTTCACACTAGTCAGATCAGATTAAAATGAGTTTTGCCTCCAGGATGAATGAAGCCGTGTTGGAGAGGTGGGAAAGATGGAGACATGAAGAGGATTTGGGGGTTGCTGTTTTGTTTTGTTTTATTCTTGTGTTTGTTTGCTTGATTGATATGTTTTGGATTGGTTTGATTTTTTTTAATTTTCTTTTGGCGGATGCTGCAGGGGTGAGGAGAGGATATGGGGGGATTGGGATGTGAGCGGAATTGAGGTGCATGGTGTGAAATTCCCAAAGAAGCAATAAAGAAATTATGTCTATAAAAAAAGACTTTCTAGCATTTTTCACTTGTTACATAGCTTCAGCATTTACTGTTAATAATGCTAACTGTTGAACAGAAATAGCCATTCATATCAGCCCAGCTTTCCTCTTATATAACACTCTTCTTTGTTTAGAAGGGTCAGACCAGTGGTCCTCAACCTCCCTAATGCTGAGACCCTTTAATACATTTCCCTGTGTTGTGGTGACCCCCTCCCCACCAGAAAATTATTTTCATTGATAGTTCAACGGATATGAATCACAATGTAAATAATATTTATATTTTCTGATGGTCTTAGGAGACCCCTATGAAAGGGTCATTTGACTCCAAAGGGGTCGCCACCCATAGGTTAAAAACCACTGGTCTAGATTATGGGCAAAGATGTGATTTTTACTGTTAGTTGTTACAGGACCAGGGCTGTCAAGATGCTTGGTGAGATGGTCTAGACAGTAGACGTGTTTGCCGTACAGTAGACATGTTTGCCGTACAGTAGACATGTTTGCCGTGCAAGTCCAATGCCCCGAGTTTGATTCCTGGAACCCAGGGTGGAAGGCGAGAACTGACTCCTAAAGGCTATCCCCCATAAACTGGTGTGGTGTGTGCCTTTGCCCTACCCCAGCCCAATAACAATAGTTTGTAAAAGCACATGTTCACATTCTCCCTGTCACCCTACAAAAGGAGAAACAGGAAGAGTGTGAATTTGTATGGGAAGAGACTTGGAGAGGAGCTCAGAGAAGTCGAGGGAGGGGAGCCATAATCAGAATATATTGTATTAAAATATATTTTCAATAATATATAGAGTGGGGCCGGGGAGATGTTCAAGTCTCCTTTGCACAGGTTGCTACATTTCAAATGTGGGCTGTGTAGCTGGAATGGAAATGTCACAGAAAAGATGCTTGCTCTATATATCCACTGTCCTGGGGCTGAATACTGTAGGCTGTGTTCTGGGTTTTCTGGCTTGAATGATCTCACTGTATAGACTGCAGGTTGTATTTTAATTAAATGTGGAAAAAGAACTTGCCTTTAACATTTCTGGTTCCAGGCAGGTAATTTGCATAAGAGGGTAGTAGTTGTGGGAAAGTTTCTCTTTCCATCGTCCCTACCTAACTCCTGTCCTCTGGGTGAGCAGGACAGAACTATCTCTCAGCACTGACACACACACACACACACAGGCTGTCCTTCGGTGTCTGACAGGTCCTGCTTCGAATGGATTTTCAAAGCAAGGAGATATTTTTTCTCTTTTCTTCATGGTTCAGTTTCCTTTTTTCCATTGTCTTGTTCAAAGTGAAAAATGTTCTCTCGGCCCAGTTTTCCCTTGTATGGCTGGCAGGACAAGAAACACCCTGGCATTTAGCTTTGTGCTCAGACATCTGTGTCAAGTGGAATGCCATTCATCTTCACTCTAGCTTCTCCCTAGAGTCCTGGTGGGATGGGTGACAGTTTTCAACGAGCTTATTCTCATTCATGAATGGGCTTTATATTTTTTTCACTTGCAATGAATACAATAATGCCTTTTTCTATTCTGTCAGAGTTCTGGTAAACCCTTTTGTTCAATGATACACACTCTTTCTAGAGTTTGTGGAGGGAAGGGGGAGATGTGTGTGTGTGGTCTTATGTGGGGAAAATGATACACTTTCTGTAGCCAACAGCCAGCATCTGGTTGATAATCAAGCGGGGACTCACACAGATGATCTATGGCGTAACTGAGACTCTATGTAGATAAAAGAAGAATGCTTTAGTTTTGGCTTCCTCCTATTGCCAGAATTCTCTTTGCCCACTTATGTCCTATCTATCATTAGCACCTTCAAATCTGTGCATAGCTCTTGCCTTCTTAATGACACTATCCCAGACCCTTTCCCCTTTATTTTCTAGTTTTTCATTTTCTCATACAAGTCACTAACATAAAACAGTTAAATATTGATACTTAAACAATTCATGTATTACATTAATTATTGCCTGCCTTCCTTGACAGATTGTGACCCTACCTACGTATCCTGGGCATGGATATTGTGAGCCTTCAATAAATATTTGTTAAAGTAGATGCTTGAGGTATGGAGGTCTTTACCACCGGTGGTCCCTGTGAGCTACTCCCTCCCATTGTCTCCTCTCCTTTTATAAAGCATTCTTTCTCACTTGAAATAATTTATCCCATATGAGTAGACCCCCAGAGAGCACACTCTCTCCCGGGACCATATCACGAACATTTGTTTTTACACCCCACATTTGTACTGCATTGGGAAAGCAATTGTATGAAGACACACAACGTGGGCCATGTTGGAGACAATCGAATTAACTATCAACTTCCTAGGCAAGCGTCTCACTCTGCTTTCTGCCACCAATAATACAACATCATAGCCTAAGCAACCCAGAAAGAAAAGAGTTTGTTTGTACTAGTGGGTCAGAAGCATTATGGCCAAAGGCCTTATGGGGGTTGATCTTCTTGTTTACAGAATCACAAAGTGATGTAGGGCAGGTGACTGACAGGGTGAACTCGTATGTGTATCTCCCTGGTGTTCAGCCAGAGGTATATCCTCCTCATGACTATAAAACATCTCCCAACACCCCAACTAGATGAGGTATCCACCCTCTTAATACCTAAAGGTGAGGATTTAGTTCCATACGAGTTTTAGAGGAACCAAATAATTCTTGAACCATCGCAATAAATAACTTATTTCATTCTTCTGGTCTTAATTAGTCGAAAGTAGATGCTATGGCCACAGTTCAGGGTAATTTACATTGTCCCTCCAGGTCATGGATAGGTGTTAATAATACCTGGGCAGAGAGCTGGAAAAACTAACACTTAACTTCTATCTTAATAATCTGAGTAAAAGTATCTTTAGTATCAACATGGAGAAATTGCTTATTGGACAGCATAAGAAGCCCCCATCTCTTTCCTGAACCCTTGACACGTCTTCAATGGAGTCTTCCTTGCCGTCACCCTCAAGGAGCTCGAGATGCTGTTCTTTCACACTGTGCTGCCTGCTTTCCTCGTCCAGTCCAGCCTCTTTTGCTTGCCCGTTGTCTCTTCACTGCAGGGTTAAATTCCACGAAAGGCTAAATGACGTTCCTGTGACTCCCATAACACATGACCACCCACGTGGCTGCACAAGATGGCAGAGACCTATTCTCTCACCGTTCTGGAGGACTTGGGTTCTTAGTTCCATGTCCTGCTTCCAGAAGCTCGGGGAGAGAATTCTTCCTTGTGTCTTCCAGGTTCTAGAAGCAACTGCCTTCCCCGTTGTTACCTGGCTCCTAGACTCACCCTTCCAACTCCGTCTTGACTTTCATATGACTTTTTTCCCCTGCATCTGCATTTTTGTTTCTTCTCTTATACAGAGCTGGCATCTGAGTGTGCTGGTTTATACCTGTCGTCTCAGCATTCAAAGGGCTGAGGCAGGATTGCTGTGAGTTGGAAACCAGCCTAGGTGAGAGTGTGAGACTGTCTCAAAAAGCAAAACACAAGACTTTGATACTCTGCTGGATTCCGTCTGTAGAAACTGCTTTTTTGTTCAAATAGGGCCATCCTGATAGGCTCCTGGAAGATGTATCTCTTAGAAGGTCAGGAACCCATTGTAGGCTTTAACTGTGTAAGTCACATATTCCAAGTAGGTGCAAAGGTTCCTAGGAGATATGGTGGAACTCAATAAACAAAGGAAAAGAGGGAGACTCCATGGCAAACAGTAGGTAAGATGATAATGTGGCTGTGATAACCTTAATGGTTGATGAAGAATGCAGTTTTCAAGGTATTAAAGGGCAAATGTCTGTTTTTAAAAGGGTAAGTCGGGGTTTTTTTTATGTTTGAATCATTCAGCTTATCTCTTTCCTTCTCCCTATAGCTTTGGTTCTGAAGGAGGAGACACATCAAGAATATCAAATAATGTTCAGTTGTCAAGGAAGGCTGTTGGTGGGGAGGGCATAATTACGTATGGTGAGTTGCATAGGCAAAGAAAAAACTGGAAGCTTATGAAGAGATACTGGGTCAGGGTTGCCCTCTCTCCAGCTGCTGCAAATCTGGGCATGACTTGTGCTAGGCACACAAAATAACCAGAGATGCGGAAGGTTGTCTCTGTCAAGGGTGTCAGTCATCCTAGTTGTAAGACTAACACAGGTAAAATGACTTAGAATGCCCCTCCTCTGTACATAACTAAGTGTTTATATCATATGGAATAGCACAAGTGCCAAATTCAGAGAAAAGATTTCAAGAAGAGGCTCAATCTGGCCCTGGAAGAGAGAGCCTAATGAAGGCTTTCTTTAAGATACTCATTGCTGCCAGGTGGTGGTGGTACACGCCCTTAATCCCAGCACTCTGGAGGCAGAGAGGCAGGTGAAGATATTGAAGCCAGCCTGGTCTACAAAGTGAGTTCCAGGACAGCCAGGGCAGTTACACAGAGAAACCCTGTTTTAGATAGAGACAGAGACAGAGACAGAGACAGAGAGAGACACACAGAGAGATTGCTGAAGAAAGACACAGAGACAAGATATGCATGACACATTCAGGTGTGCCTAGGGTCAGGTCACTATAGTAGTCATGGTGAGTAAGAGTGTGCAATGGAATGAAGGAAGAAGATGACTGAATTCATTTTCAAATTCAACTTCCTAACTTCCTTTTAGCTAAAGATGGCCAGGATCATTTTTGTCTCAAGTCATTCTTCGCCTCTTGATAAGCTGTGGCGGACGGTACAACAGGGACTGTCTGCACCTGGTCTGAGCAGAGGCCCCCACTATTTTGCCTTTTGTTAAGGCCAGGCCCATTGAGTCTGCAACAGCTGTTCATTTCCCAGCATGTTTTCCCCACAAATCGCAGCACAGATTGCATCCTACTTTTTACTTCTATTTTTCTCAAGATAGTTTTCCTTCTCTCAGACATCTATTTTATTAAATGCCTCTGTGAAGCCTATTTCATGTCATATTAGAATTTGCTCCTTAAAAGTATCTGGCCTCAATTCAAGTCCAGTTCTAGAAATTTCCATAAGGCTTTAATGTTCTTTAAGATGCAATTATCACTGTTTGTGGCTGACTTAGTGGCATCATATTTAAGATGAAAAAAAAAAGCATTGTTTTCCTAGCTCTGAAGGCATCGCTGGAATTAGTTTAATGACATCTCTCTACACAGTGCTTTAGAAGCTGCTGTTCAATTCTGGATTAATTATTTGAACTGCAGGGTAGAGAACAATTCAAAGGAATATCTCGAACAAGTGGCACATCTTTGGATTTACTTGTTATTCCAGATGTCCTTGAAATTTCAAAAGAACCTGAAGTACGACAGCCAGAAGGATTCGGAAACAGAGACTGAAGTAGAAGAGCTAATTAGGAAGATATCTGGGAATGGTGTCTGGCATTTATCGTGTTAAATGCAGTCCGAGTAGCAAGCCCAAACAAAACGCGGTAAAATAAAAGTATGTATCTGAAGTGAGAACTGGAAAGACAAACTTAAGCAAAACCTTTTACTTGGGACTAATAGGTGTCCAGTCTGACATTAATTTACTGTCTAATTTAAGGAGCACCAAATGATACAGGGGTACTTTTACAAGGGATGCAGAAATGTTCGTTCAGTTATTTAGTATATCAGTGATCTGTAAAAAACCAAGGATGACTCATTAAATCCCGTGTTGTATGTTTTCAGGCTGAAAGAGGAGAATGGCATCCAATAAAAGTTATAGGGAATGTTAATTACTAATCAAATATTAATTCTCCAACTGAGACTAGTGCACAGATGAAGGGCAGAAGACTCTTCAGTGGATTCCTATGTCTTGCAGTGAGGTAAGGTGGTGTGAGTGAGTGGCCTGGACCAGCAGACTCTTCTTCAGTTCCTGGTTCCAAGGGGGAGGACCCGGGAGGAGAGGAATAATAACGACGGGAAAGTTGGGGTCAGGAGGTCTTCGTGAGCTGATGACTCATGCCAGCAAGTTTATTAAGAAGTATAGCATCTTATATACTGTGTGCAGGGGAAAATGGAACAAAGTCAGCAGAGAGCTGTCACAAAATGGGACAGAGTTGTCAGGAAACTAATCAAGCAATGTTGTATGAAGGGAACATGGGATTTCTCAAGTGTGTCATAGACCAAGTGCACAGTGGCCTTGGGCCTGATCACAACAGTCCTTTGTGGGTAGAGTCATGTTCCTAGGAAATCCCCAGTTCTTCTGAGACCCTGGTCCTGGGCCATTGCTGGCCTTATCAAACATGTTCATGGCTTTAGAGAAGGAACAATGTTCCTTGTGTATACTTCAGGACCTCTGGGAAAGCCCCAGACTAGCCTGGCCTCCAGCAAGTGAGTTCAGGTTCGTGACATATTAAGTCAGAGTTACTTCCAGGAAGACTCCCTAGAGACAGGACCCATTCTTCCTCCATTTTGATCAATAACCATTCTAGTCACAAGGTTACTGAGGTCTGAAGACAGGCGTCCTGCCTATGGGTCATAGAAGGTTTCTGGGGTGATCTCATGAATGTGAATTTTTCTGTTTGTTTTTTTATAAGATCAACGTCTAACTTCATTTTAAAAGAAGAAACAAAGCTTCACTTACATGAGTTGAATCTTTTTGTTAGTAACTATATTATATTACTAGTTGGTACACACACTTACGGAGTTCCAATAGTGTTTCAAAGGTTTTTTTTCTGAGTTAACTCAACTCCCCTTTGAGCCATATATTACAGATTTAGAACATTGAAGGACCTTGCAAAGGCCACAAGAATACTTGTATATCAATGAAACCAACTCACCTCAGGAGAGCTCAAACTTTCAGGTCCTCTATTGCACTCATGACCTAATCTGAAAGTTCAACTTGGATCCCAAAAGCTGAGCTTGGATCCCAGGTCTCTGGTGTTTTTATTTTGAACCTCAGTTGTCAGAACACTTGGCAGAGGCAGGAAGAAAAGGGAAAGAACATTAACTGCTATAATTGGGGCATACAGGAGAATGACACGTCCTCTGGACCCGTGATAATCAAAAGAGAAGTTTTCCAAAGCAAGGAGATGCTTCGGGCAACACCAGGAGAGATTCACTGGCTCCATCAAGCCCTAGAGTGAATCCTTGTAACAGGCCCCAGACCTTAATTAGCACAGCTGACACCATGATGGAAGTACCATTCAGACCCTGGAACCCAGCATGTAGGCAGTGACCTCTGCCAAAATGAGAACAAAGACCTAATCCATCAAAGTCTATCGTTCTAGGAGAGTCCGTAAATACACTCACCTTGCTTTTTTGGCTTCTGTAATTCTGCTTCTGGATAACTGTTCTTGATGACTGAGATGTGTCAACCCAGGATGCGGCTTTTGTGCTTAAAACCCACTGTGAGAAAGGCTCAGGACTTGCACTCGGGTCCTTAATATCAGTCTAGTCACCAGCTGGCTGATAATGACTTTCTGTAGACTTGAACCTGTGTTGGAGTAGTTTCTGATGGATGTCTCCTGGCACCCTGCATCGTTTGTATCCTGGTTTTCTGAATAAGGTGCTTTGCTCATACACATTGTGATGGGGGATCCTGTGTATACTGTGACTATGTGTTTCTCTTATTGGTTGATAAATGAAGCTGTTTCAGTCAATGGACAGGCAGGAATTTAGCTAGGTGGGAATTCCCAATGAAGAGACAGGGAAAGAAAAAAGACAGATGCCATGTAGCCTCCATAGAGGCAAGATGCCAGGGCATCACTCCCAGTAGGAGGAGAGTTTTCTCCGTCTGTCTCAGTCCCAGTAAGCCAAGACCACGTGGAGATACAGAGTCATAGAAATGAGTTAATAATTAAGACAGAGCTAGTAAGAAGCCTAAGCTGTTAGCTAAACAGCTGTAACTGATATAAAGTCTCAGAGTGGTTATTTCATTAAGCAGCTGTGGAAACCGATGAGTAGAGAGAAAACTGGTCCAGTGGGACTGAGACAGACGGAGAAAACTCTCCTCCTACGACATTGTCCTGTCTGTCTGGTTAACTGATTTATAGAAGTACATGGAGAAATATGCGGCTCAGAGGTGCCTGCAAGAGAGCTGTGTTTCCAAGCCTGTGGCTCTACTGCAAATTCCTTCCTTCCCCGCCACCCTGACTTCCCTAGTGCAGGCCTGGCCGGCTTTGGCTCACATGTTGTTCCGACTTCCTGCTGCCTGACTCAGGAGAGACAGGCGGTGAGCACACCAGTGTGGAGCTCCCTTCCCACCATAATTTGGAATCTGTGGTTTTCCCTTCCTTAAAACCTTCTGGTCACTTTTCATCACCTTCCTGATGGGGCCCAAAGTCCCTGTCACCTGGTCCTGCACTCTCCAATTTCCTGTTTGGAGTTTCTCCCCACATCTGCTGTTCATCTCCCTGTAGAAAACACTTTCCTTTTGAAACATTCTTTTTGCATCCAGTCAATTCCAGGGCATTCTGTCCAGCCATAGCACAATCCCCCAGGCACTATAAGAGCATGTTGTTTATTTTTTGGAGACAATTTTTAAAATTAACTTATTCATTGACGATTTCACATATGTCTATAATGTTAATGTGTTCTGGTCACATTCATCCCTCCATTGTTCCCTCCCCTCCCCTCCCTCTCCCCCCTCCCCCTCCCCCTCCCCCTCCCCCTCCCCCTCCCCCTCCTCCTCCTCCTCCTCCTCCTCCTCCTCCTCCTCCTCCTCCTCCTCCTCCTCCTCCTCCTCCTCCTCCTCCTCCTCCTCCTCCTCCTCCTCCTCCTCCTCCTCCTCCTCCTCCTTCTTCTTCTTCTTCTTCTTCTTCTTCTTCTTCTTCTTCTTCTTGTCAACAACCTGCCTCAGCCCATCAAGCCACCATCTCTTTTTTCTTTACTTCTTTTTTTATTTTTATTTTTGACTGTTCTTTGTGAACCACGGGATTTAATGAGTGTGGAGCTATCTACTAGAATTTGCATAACTCACCAGTAGGCAAGTCACTGAAGGCAATGACTTCCTTCCCCCCATCAGTCCTGCACTGTCAATAGTCCCCTACCCCCTGCTCTGGGCCCCATGAGTTCCTCTCCAATTCATGACTGATGTTTTTGTATCAGTCCTATGTAGACCCTATGTAGGCAACCACAGCAGCTGTGAGTTCATGAGTGCCAGGAACACCAGCCTTGTTTTGAAGTTAACTCACACTGCTCATTTCTAATGTCTGGGCCCCATATCCCAAAGCCTCTACCACGTCTACAAAGGTGCCAGCATATCCTCTACTTTCACAGTCTCTCTCTTCGTCTCTGGGGAGTTTAGCAGAGAACTGTGGCTTCTCTTGACACTGAACAATATTTACCATATAGGGGTGCCACTCAACAACCTTGGGGCTCTGCATCCTATTTGTTTTTCCCCAGCTGAACTGGCAGAATTACTTTCTTCAGTCTCTACAGGATTTGTTTCCTTGATTTACAGATAATACACACCACCATCTTTTGTCCACCCTACCATGCCATTTATTGGTTACCTCTGTGCCAGAGAAAAGAGGAAAAGAACTCATTACCTCTCGAATCCTCATAATAAAACAACCAGGAGACACTCTAAATGTGTGTTGTGCTGAGGAAGGCACTAGATTTAAGGGCACTCAAGTGTCCAGATTACCCGCTCCCATGTCCTCTAATATATAAAATTTTAATCTCTGCCTAGATATCACAGCCTTGTGGCTTGCTTGTTTTTCTTGTAGAATGAAAGGTGTCCCAGGAACTCGTACTCTCTCAGTGATTTTGGTGTTCCCTTCTGTGTGGATAATCTCCAAATCTGTAACTCTGACTTGTATATCAAACTCATTGTCACCGCACTGTCTACTGGACATTTTTACTAAGATGTCCCCCTGGGACTTGCAATTTAATCTCAGATATTAAGCTCCCTGCATCTATGTAAGAAATGGACTGACTTCCAAAGCAATGTGGATCTGCTGACGATGCCATCGTGGTCACCATTATCCAGGAGACTTCATCAAGGACTTCCTCTTCACATGTTAGGGAGTAGAGTATAACATGAAAAATAAAAGACCCAGAGATGGATATTGGGGTTCAAGCTTCAAGCTGAAGATTAGAGAAGCAAAGCATCCAAGTCAGTAGATCTTACCTCTTCCCAACTGAAATGCAGTCCTGTCTCCACGAATCCTCAGAGGCAAAAGCTCTGAGTTCTTGTTTCTTCCTGCTTTTTATTCTTCTCTCTACCCAGCCATATCACTCCTGTCTCCACCTCCCTAGCGCTGGGATTAAAAGCTGTGTGAGCTGTTTCTTTAAGGACTGGATCAATTTTTTGTAGTCAGTGTGGCCTGGAACTAACAGAGATCCGTCTACCTCTTAATCCTGAGTCCTGGGATTACAGGTGTATGCCATCAATGCCTGGCTTCTATAGCTAACTAATATGGCCGGTTTTGCAACCTGAACCCTCAGGCAAGCTTTATCAAATCATAAATAATATATTATCACAGTGGAGATTTAGTTCACGAAGTTAATATTAAAAAGCCTCTACAGGTTGGTCTCAGTGTCCTTTCAATGCTAGGTTTCATCATCTTCTTCCCCACCCCCATCCCAACTGGATTCTTTACTGTGCTTAGGCATGTGGTAACTGCTACAGAGATGGTGTCTTCATCTAATTCTTTAAGTGATATGCCTTCAGACATGGCTTTCTTCCTCCAGGGCCCAGCCCCTCCAATCCATTGGGCTGTCCTGATCCAGATCACTTTGTTGGATGTTGGATGTTGGATGTGGGCTATTCCTTTTCATGTGCATTTTGTGCATTGCAGCCTCTACTTCTATGAAAATTTAATGTGGTTTGTAAAAGTGTAGAAAAAGTAGGAAGATGTGCCAACATATAATCCAAAGTGTATTTGCTAACACGTGTCACAGTGAGGCTCCCTTTTGAGGTTGCAGAGCTGGAGAACAAGACACACCGAGTTACATAATCTTCATTTTGTGCTTTAATTATTAGAAACAGGAGCATACAAAATGCTCCATAGAAATTAATATTTTTTTTCTGGAGCAAAACCTTCCAGTATGCTCACACTATGAGTCATGTTTTCCACAGGCAAGTCTAGCTCCCACAGACAACAGTGGCTGGAGCGTGAAAGCTTTCAATATCAACTCTTCTCATGTGACCTGAGAAGATTACAGCTTAGCAGTAGAATGATTGCCTAGCATGCATGACGAGGTCTTCATCTCAACTATGGCCAAATCTAGCCAACCAGATGAGCAAAACCCCTAATTGTAGTTAGCCAAAGAGCTGACACAGTCTGGTCCCAACTGTACCAACATGGAAGATGGGGGACTCAAAAGAAAAGGTGTTTTGTTTGTTTGCTCCATGTGTGCTTGTCTTGGGGAGCCCAGGGGAGCTTGTGGGCTGTCATTGATTCCTCTTACAAGTGCTTGTTCTATGAGAGGTCTAGGTTGCCTGTAAAAGTGAGAGCCCTGTGCTTTAAGACCAGATGGAGACAGGAGGCAGAGTTGTTATTCTGTTGTGAAAGGTAAAAGCCAGAGTTATATTCCACCCAGACACTGCATACTACTTTATCTTGGCCAACTAGGAAGGAAGCCATCTCTCTTTGTCTCTCTGTCTCTCTCTCTGTCTCTCAAAAAATTACAAGCTTTTAAGAGTTATCTGTAAGAGCTGGGCAGTAGTGACACATGCCTTAAATCCCAGCACTCGGGAGGCAGAGGAAGGTGGATCTCTGTGAGTTTGAGGCCAGCCTGGTCTACAGAGCGAGTTCCAGGACAGGTTTCAAAGTTACGGAGAAACCCTGTCTCAAAAACAACAACAAAAAACAAAAACAAAAAACAAAAAAGCTATCTCTAAAATTGTCACAACTTTTATGTTAGTGATGTTATGTTAAATGGAAGAAGCGAATACAAAAAGATTAAAATTTTTATTCAATTACATTTTATCGAAAAAGTATAATTGTGAGTTTGTTGCATCTGAACTTAAGATTCTCAGGGTTGTTGAGATGATGCTTAGCAACAAATAGAAACATGGGCAGAGATTTCTATCTTCTCTATCTAAATTAGTTGAGTGAGACCCAGCATCAGTTTTAATGTCTTGGTCCTATCAGCATCTCCTATTTGACTTCACTCTCTTCAACTCCAGTGGAAGAGCTAATTGACACACCAAGTAAGGAGTAAGCCAGATGGGTTCTTTTCTCCCCTTGATGACCTTGTTCTCCTAAGGGAGGCTCTAAGTCTCTTTTAGAATTTGATGCTGGCTACCTGGGGGGAACTTCTCTTTCCCTATACGCTAGGGCTCTCAGATGCAGTTACTGTGTTTTCTGGCTCGGTGATGTCAATTAACAGTAACATTTAATTCCCTGGTCCCATTGTCTAATGTCCCAGAGGGTTCCTGGAGAGTACTGGTCTACCATGTTGGGAG